GTAAGAAGACTTTGCCAAGAAAAATACAAATAAATGCCCGCACGTCTTGGGGTGTTTTCTGTTTTTATTTTTATTCCTATTTATTTTCCGTTTCGGTTTTTATTTCGTCTTGGGCCGAGACCCCGCAACATGAGCAGTTTTTGGGCATGGCCAGCGAGTGTCTTGACTTATTTTTGGCTCTTTCAAACGAACACACACACAGTCGCAGAGATAGAGTGCGAGACATGTTTGCCCACATTCAAATATCGCTTTTCAAGGTTACGTTTTGCCGCCGTTTGCTTTCCGCATTTCAAGTTAACATTTTTGGGGGCCCTAAGTACGAGTAATGAGCACTTGTACTCGAAAAGTGAGGCAGGCAGCATGACTCTCGAGTTAATTACGAACAACTAACAACTAACTTGAAATTGATTTCGAGAATCAACTGATAAAGCCCAATCCAATCCGATCCCAGGCTTGAGCTAAGGTCAAACTTCACCTCGAGTTGTCGTTTGTTTAGTGCTTTTTTGAATAATCATTATGACTGGCATTGAACTGAATACATTGCTCTGTGTGGGTTTGGTTTGGTTATGGTTTTTGGTTTGGGTTTTGGTTTTGGTTTTAGTTTGGCTTTTCAGCGATTAGCAAATGCTAATATTGATGGAAAAGTGTGCGTTTTCAAAGCCAAAGAGACTTTTCGAACAGAGAACAACAAACCAACAGGCGACCTTGAAACGCCAGATAAACCCAGTTGACAAGACGTTAATTGCCGCGCTGTTGCCTAATATTAATATCGGAATATTACGCATACGCAGTGTGTACTTGGGTACTCAGGTGATGGGCAAACAGTTAACAAAGCTCCTGGCAAATACCGAATAAGATAAACCCTATAATTACCAATGCACACGCCAATTACCAAGGTCAACAGAAAAAAAAAGCAGGTGAACAGAGAGAGATACACTTAGTACACGTACAGAAGCTTTGCTGTAGCTGAAAAGCTGGCTGCTGCAATTGGTGGAGTTGGTGTCCCAGCTGCTGCTGCGGATCCTGCATCATCATTTCGGGCGGGCTGAGCGACGTGGACGTGGTGGTTGTTCTGGCAAACAACATGCTGCTCCGGCCAAAAGAGCCAAAACAAAATCACTGGCAAAATGGCTGCGCGCGGGAGCTGGAAATTCGAAAAACGAGCGACAAACGAGCGAGCGAGCGCACGAATCGAGCGACCAAACCGCACTGAAGAATTCCGATCGAAGCGAAGACGGAGCCGCGACTCAAGCATAGAGTTTCGCTGCTGCCAGAGAGCCGGAGAATTGGGGAATGGGAGAATGGGAGAGTGGGAGAGAGTGGGATTTGGAGACCCCAAAGAGAGACCCGGAGAGTCGGTTCATGAGTCAGAGTGTTCGTACGATCATGGGCAGATGATGGGGATGATGATGTCGTCGTGTCTCTGTATATATGATCTAATGCCGCCGATTGCCTCACTTCACTCCATGTCACTCGGTTCATTATCAACTTTAAACAGAGACGGCAGAGGCTGGCAAACAGAGAGAGGGAGAGAGGGAGAGTAATCAGGGGCGGCGACACGAGTGGGGGGCGTGTGTCGAAAATAGAAACTGCTGTGGCAACATGTGATACGGAATGAGCCAACGTGATAAGCCAGCGACGGAAAGAGTGAACGTGTCACGTTTTCAGGCACCAATCAATGAGCACTCAATGGGCAAACCAAGCGAAACTAATGACTACAGACCTGCAAGATTAGGTAAAACTATTCCCAATACTTAACTGTCAAGTTGCCTTCGTGGCATAGGGACACTTGTCAGTTTAAATTATTAAAAACCCTTAAATTATTAGTTCAACCAAGTTACATCGCGAAATTGTTACGGTTGCTATTACAAATTTATGATTGCTATTTCTTAATCACAAAATAAATTTAACTATTTCGTCATTTTCTCAAAACCATGCCTTAGAATTCTACGAAACTGCCGCCAGAAACAAGTTGATAAAACTTTGAAAATCGGTACCACCCTGCGTATGCGTAATTTGAGGGCTTGTGATGACCCAATTATCAGAGGAAGTCGGGCTCATCCTAATCAGTGGCCCCAAAAGCAAGCCAAACTGGCTGGCCCTCGAGTTATTAGTAGGCCACTTGAGATGCTCCACAAGTGCAGTCACACCAAATGCCTGGCCACTTGAGCCGCAACAATGGACTGCACCTAAGAATAAGGTAACCCAAAAACACGCCACAGAGATTCCAGTTCAGATAGTGGCCAAAACAGAGAGGGAGCGACTGCGAGAGAGAGAAAGAGAGAGGGAGAGAGCAGCCCTTAGGCAGTAAACGCACTTGAGATTTGGCCAGGCAACAGCATTCGCATACCATATAATTTTAGAAGCTGCAGTTAGCTAACTGAGCCAACCCAAGCAACCCAGTTATACAGGACCTACTCAAGGACGTTGCTGCTGCGGCTGCTGTGGCGGCTGCAATGGCGCCAAATGCTGCAGTGCAGCTGAATGGGCTCCGAAATCGAGTCCGAGCCGTCGTCCTACTGCGCAGGACCTTTCCTGTCTAGGCGAAAAACACCGAGGAGGTGGCACAAACAGCAGAGGCACACAGATACACGTACGCACCCGCATTGTCATCAAAGTAGGTCAGCCGCTTGCCATGCTGTCAACGTTTTTCCGAGAGCAGGTCTCTCTCTTTTTCCCCTGAGCAGCCACGAATACACCCCCTACTTTTCCAGCTGCCCTGCCAGCATTGATTACATAAGACCCAGCACCAGACGCATCCACCACCAGACCTCCACGTTGACCCGCTCGCCGCCCCCTTTTCCGTCGATTCTACTGCATTTCCTTTGCAGCAGCCCCAGAAACTGACGCATTCCTAGCCTTAGTTACACAGAAACTATTTTAAATACCTGATTTGACACTTTAATAGGTTCAAAATGGTTAAAAATCTATTATATAATCTTTCAACTTGGCTTAAAAAATATAATATTCAAACTTTACAAACATTTCATATGCTTTTGATAAGAACAAACGTATTTAGAAACTAATCGCATGTAATAAATATATCAAAATAATGCCCATTTTTTACGAGCTGTTTTTTGCTGTGTATCTCCATTGTTGCTCTCTCTAACTATTCAGAAATTTAACCATGACAGCTATAAATAACAAGAAAAACTGAAAAAAAATTGAATAGATATTAAACAAAACAAATGACTGTCAAGGCAGCTAAGCAAATAAATTGCCAGACAACTAATAAACGACGTGGGTAAATACCCAATCCCATATGGACCTGTTATATGTCCAGAAAAAAAGACAGCTTCAATGGTGGCTAATTAATAACAAATGCCCAGCTGAACACACGTAATGCATCTATTTATCTGGGCTCATCTAAAACGCAAACGTTTGAACCGAACCTGGCCAAACAACAGCTGATAAAATGGTACAACTTTACCACAATAAACAAATTCTTAACCAAAACTAGCCCATAAATAATTGATGGCATCGAAAATAACGTCAGCTTAGATGAATGGAATATGGAAATTTTCATATTTACCTATCTAACGAACTTGAACTTACTCGAACAGAACTTCCGCATTCCAATGAACAAAATAAAACTTAAAATTTTGATGCAACATTAAGACAACACATGAATTTTGTTTAATTTTCTCTAGATATTTTTTGTCCACCTTACGTATTCCAAATAGCCTGCTCTGCTGAACGGAAACTGAGTGTAATCTCCTCACCGTTTCGTTACCCAATTGACAATCATCGAAGTAGCACGCTTCGGCCAATAAAGAAACTCGAAAACGTGTTTACGCTTCTGACGGTTTGTCTATGGGCAATGGGCTATGGTCTATCTGTCTAAATATCAAAAGCCAGCGGGGGCGACATTGCGACTCAGACATTTACACCTTTGCTATTTTCGTGGCTATGACGACAGGTACTTCGATTGCGTTGTGTGGCTGCTCACCTTGGAGCTCGAAGCTCGCTGCCAGCTGGTTTTCAAGCCGAACAAATCATGCAAAGCAACCAGTTAATGGCTCGTGGTCAGACTGTATGGGTTTGGCAATAGATCGGAGGAGCGCTTCTTTCAAATGCTAATCGCCACACGGATTTGTGACCCACTCAGCTGTCCCCGTCGTCGAGGAGCCGCTCAAAAGTCACTCGTTTCGCTCAGGGACGGACCAACACTTGTATCTAATTGCAGGCCATTGATGATGGGGCTGCAGGAGATTTCGGAAAACGGAATTCGGATTGCAGGCGGAGGTCATCGCGAAAATTGGGTCAAACTGGGCCCGCAATGTCTCGGCGCCAAATCCTGCGCAAAGATTCAGCCGCCAGCCAGATGGCAGATGGGCAGATGGCAGTTGTCATTTTTAGATGTACCGGCATGTATCAGTGCGGCCCTCGGGGCGTATACGCCATATCTGGCTTAATTACGAATCAAAGTCTGCCTGTTCGCCCGGTCGCTTGCAAAACTGACATCGAACGTATTGGGGGCAAACTGCAAATGAATTTCTCGTGCTGATTAATTGAAACTTAACAAACAACAACAGCGACAAACGACAAAAAGCAACGAAATCATAGATACTGGGCATACATATATGTTATATATCGGTGGGGATATATTGCGGTAACAACAACATGACCATATAACAAAGAAGGGAAACGGCACGATCGGCAAAAAAGTTAGGCAAACAAATTCAATGAGTTATATTTATACGCTTCGGAGATAAAGAGCAGTGGATAGATAGATAACGAACGAGAGATAGATATAGACAGATATATAGAGACAGAGAGTAGAGTAGAGTAGAGGAGAGAGAGAGAGAGAGCACGATAATGGGGATATGCAAGAGCGATTGAGATATTTTCCGTTTCCTTCCTTCTGCTGGCGGAATGAATTGGGGTTCGATATTGATTTGGGTTTGAATTTGAATTTGATTTGGAATTCGATTTGGAATTTGATTTGGAATTCGATTTGGAATTTTATTCGGATTTGGATTGGATTTTGGTCAACTTACCGGAACTGAAATGTGAGCGTTTTGTTTGTTCATTTTCCGGATCGGAATCAAGTGGCCTTTTGCGCGAGTCGCCGATTTCAGGACTTGGACATGTCTCCATGGTAGCGTCTTCGGCCATTTTTAACTGAATGTTGCTGGTTTTGGTTATCGACTTTGACTGATGATTGCTTTAGCTTTAGCTTTTGCTTATGCTTTTGGTGTTTCTGTTACAGTTTACTGTTCTGTTTCTATGTCTCGTTGGAGTATTTCTTTTCGATTTGATTTGATTGGGTTGGTTTTGGATTGGCTTGGCTTGGATTTGATTTGATTGGATTGGATTGATTCGGTTTTGATTCGCTTTTAGTTTTTGGTTAAACGACAACGAAACGTTCGATGTTTGGTAATGAGGCGTCTGTTTAGCTTGGTATTATTTGGTTTTTGGCTTGCTTGGTATTGTTTCTTGTATTTCTGTTTTGGTTTTTAGAGCGTGCGAGCGAAAGAGCGATTGAGCGAGCGAACGATCAAACGAGCGCAGGATGCGTCAGTCACTGTCCTGTTCTAGAGTTCTTCTAGTTGTCCTTGTCCCGCAGTCCTGTAGTCCTTGTCGTCGTCCTTGTCCAATGGGTGCGATTCGATGCGATTCGATGCGATGCGATGCCTTATCGGGGGGGTTCCGCCACTGGCATCTGAGAGATTGATGGGCTATGTGGATGAGGTCCTTGGTCCTTGGGTGCGCTACTGATGCTGCGACTCATGCACACACATGGAGTTACAGCTATCGATCGCTCTCAGTGACAGTTCGTGAACGTCGCTATATATGCATTTGCACATGTGTCTTCAGACTCTATTTACGATCCTTCTAGATTTCAGTATTCGTTTCGTAAGGTTTTAATATTTTTTTTTAAAATTTTTTTTTGGTGGTTTTGTGGTGGAATGTGCGAGTTTTGTTTTTTGTAAACGTTTATATGAAAAAAGAAAAAGAAAAAAATATTTATGAGTGAATTATGCAGCAATAATAAATATACATACATACAGTAAACATTTAGGCAATATATAGGTATGTACTTCGCATTAAACTTGTAGATATAGATACAGTTGTCAGAGTGGCAATGCATTTCTCGAGTAGTAAAACACACATAGGTGAGTAACATTTAGATAGGTAAAAACAATTGATTTGATTTTAGTTGATTTGAGTTGAGTTGAATTGATTTGTTCTTCTTTTGACACAAAAGATGCTATTTACAAAATGATCAAGGCATTTTGCGAGATAGGGGATAAAGGGCGGGATTTTCGGGGGTGGACCGGGCTGGTCTTCTAAAAGCGTGGATTGTGTAAGGCATTCACATATCAAAACTGATCGGGACAGGCAGATGAGGGGGTAGAGATAGATTGGTTTGAAGCAAGCTTTGTGAATGTGGAACATGTGGTATATGATTGAAAGCAGACGACAAAATGAATTACAGGAATCCATAGAAATAGTTTTGAAAACAGGCCCCCTACAAAAAAGTATCCAATGTGAGGGAAGTAGGTTAGAAGGGCCGAGAATTCTCTGTATCTAAATTTACACCTTAAATTTAAAATCTTATTGCTAACATATAAAAACCTTCTTTTTTTGATTTGTAATACGAATTATCCCATATGCACCCATTTATACAACTTAGTTTAGCCTTAATAAAGGTCATCCTTAAGTGGCAACAAAGTGAGTAGTCTAAAATTAATACTATGTATTACTCCCGAGAAATACTTGTACTTTCCTTTATTTACAATTTAATCTGAAACCCATGAAAAAATTCAAGAAAATAAAAAGCTGCTTTCTTTAATAAAATACACCATGTGATGAAGTTACAAGGGCTTTTCAATCTATGCGCATTGTCAGCAAATAAAAGTCATAATCTTAATGCTAACTCCCTGACACTTCTTATATGAATTGTTAATTTATATTCGTTCCACCTGAATCCTATTTAAACAAGTCCGTCCCCAGAGCGCAGTATTAGTTGCTTTTGAATACTTAAGCCAGTTTTTTTTTTGTCCATAAACATGGCAATGAAAACCCAACTTGCAACTCAATTATGCATGAGATGTTTTATTTTATTATGATTTCATTGCTAATTAAAAATGCGCCGACACAAAAGCCGAAGCGCGACCAACCAAAAAACAACAATATCTGCAGCAGCAAACAGACGACGCGCATTTATTTGTTTAAAATGGCGTTTAATTATACAAACATTTTTATATTTTATTTCTGTTGGTAGTGCTGGGGCTCAAGTGTGCGTTTGATGTGTTGGTGGGGATTCGATTTGACTGCAAACGACCTTGACCATTGAATAAGTTTTTTTTGTTCGTGCCCGCTTAGCAGCGACCACAAAGCAAAATGAGCAATAAATCGAAGAGATGGCAAAAGCCACCGACATTCAATGCTAAGCAAGCGCCCAGATACATAGATACACGACACAATGCGTACGAAAAGATACTCGTTTGCAATTGTATGGCATGCGCTACACAGAAAGAAAACTGCATACATGTTGATCGATTTCATATGAACCTGATACATGTCATTTCAATATGCTTAAAATTATTTTTAAGTTTCATTAACCAGCAATGTATTTCCATTAGAGTTTTTGGTTATAAGAGTTAGATATTATTTGCTTTTCATAGCAGCTCACAACTTATATTTGTAAAAATCATTTTTGCCCACAGAAATATATGCTAGAATTTAAATATTTCGAAATTTTTTTCCGTGTAATCACTGCTGCGCACCTGTCGTCTGCGTACTGAGAACAAAACTGGTAGGTCGCACAAATTTGCATTTACTTAAGAAATTAGTGGGGCTACAAATACGAAAATCAAGAAACTAACGATCGATTTAGCAGTGGCAGGAGATGCGAAACGAGTTTTCGATTGATGCGAGAGAACCAGTTGCTTTTGCGCCTCGGCTTGGCATTTGAGTTTTTCAATTAATTAACCTAATGCTTTTCGGTCGACTATTTGTTGTTTTTCGCTGACGTTCGTAGAAGAATTCCCACTCGAGGCGAGCGCCTCGAAATGGCGTCAGTTGGAAGTCTAAACAAAAGTCGCATAATAAATGCGACAACCTGGCAATCAAATTTCAGCTGCGGTTTGGCCCCAAAATCTCCGAGAAGAGTGCCCCGCGAAAATCCCCAGAGATGCCTCATGCCCCGTGCCACATGCCTTTTGGCTTCTCCCCACAAAACACGCAAAGTGCTCGACATTTTTCACTTTTCATGCGGCCTTGAAAACTGCAGCGGGCCAAATGGGATTGGGAAAATTTTAGCAAAATGCTTTTTTCGCTTTGCCTTGGCGATGATTAGAAGAAGAAAGCCATGCACAACAACGAGAAAACGTTATTGATGCACTCAAGCCGAAAATGTGTTAATGGTGATGAATTGGAAACAGCTGCAGCATGAAATGCACTCTCCAATCAGCCCAAGGATATTCCAACGACAGAATTATAATCAGCCAGAGCATTTGAAATGGTCGGAATAGCGAAAGTGGGCTGACATGATGGAGGAGTGCCTTGAAACAGGTTGCATACATATTTACTTGCGATATTGTGTGTATCAAAAGTGTTATCTAACTTCTAGGCACAAGTTGAAGACAAGCATTACATATTGGATCCCAGCTTTCAATATAAGACATGTGGCATATGTACAGAACGAATCATTTACCCTTTGCGGTATCCGTCGACCACTAAATGAAGCCTGCAAGAACCGATTTCTGCTGCCACTTCCCGGTTATCATCAAAGTTCTTATGTGGAACGGAAAAAATGAAAAAATGAAAAAATATTCCATTTACTCAGCCACTCGTACGCTCATGCTTACATACATAGGGCCAACTTATCTCCCTGTCGGACTCACAGTTATCACTCGAGCGGAGACGACGGCGATAAGGTTTATTTTCGTTACTTTTTGGTTTGTCGATAAGGCGGACGGCCAGGGGCGTAGATGGGAAAACCAAGTGCGGGGGTTTTATTCCGACTAAATCAATCAAGGGGGGATGGTCTGGTGTTCGTAACGCCCCTGGTATATGACGAAATTATGACTTTTCGTGAGCTACTTGTTTGCAGGCGAACGAGAAATGAGTAGACAGAATATGGAGTAGAACGAGCATGACATCAGAAGTTTGGAACGAAGTTTGAGAAGTATATTCACAACTCGAAGTTCGAACTATAATTGGGTGGTTTTTTAAAAGGGGGCGACACGCGACCCGCATCTCATTGTCAGAGCGTAAGATTTATGCTTTGTTGCCTAATTGAAAGGCCTGCGTTGTTTGCATGTGCTGTTGCTCGATAAGCAGTTCTTGAGCGCCTCTTAAATACACAATGTACATATCTGCATAAATGCCCCTCGTCGGGCGCCACATATATGTTACATCTAGGCACGAAAGACTATTTATTTGGGGGGTGGACCTAGAACCGGGGGGAACCACTTTGTGGGGCTCTCAAATAACCAACTGTCAGTGGCGATGATTCCCAGCACTTAACGACACGACACTCACTTGAAACTTGAACGGTTCCACCAAATTGTAACTTCTGAAATAACACACACTTCTGCGACGACAGTGCGCGAGTACGTAAAAATCAAATACAACTAAATTCAAAAACTGAAAACAATTAAAAACGAAATGGGTTTCGAGGCGGACAGGCCAAAGTATCTACGAGATTCAAACACTTGCCAGTGAGAGAGTGTGAGAGCCCGTTTCTTGGCGATAGAGGGAGAGAGAGCCTGCCGAAGAGCGGGAGTATCTGGCAGATACTTTATCTACAAACTGTCGAGTGCTCGTCGCTGGGTTTGCAAGTGTTTGCTCAGCCGTTTTCAGAGCTCTCTCACTCAGCGCATTTGTGTAGTGTGTGTGTGTGTGTTTGTATTTATATTCTTATCAGTAAATAGTTTACGCTATGTGCTGCACTTTGCTCCTCGGTCTCCCTCTCCCTCTCTCTATCGCCTGTTCCCACTCCCACCGCTATTCGCTTAATTGTTTTGTTTTTGTTGACTCGGCCGTGTCTCAGACGCCCCGACGCTGATTAAACTTAAAGTTTGAAGTGGGCTCTTAAAAAAAATTAACTCCACATTCAAGAATATATTAATAATTTTAAACTAATAATTTAACAAATTTATAGTTATAATATGATTTTTAGAAACGAATTTACGATGAAGATGTTACCTCAAAAAACAATTTATTTAATTTAAGATAAAAATACCCCCTCGATTTTTAGATTTGTTTGCATTTTTAACAAAATGACTATGCTTTCAGATAAAAAACTTTTTAAATTTAAAATTGTAAGATTAATTTTTGGGAGCGTGTATAACTAAGCCACAAGTGCCGGCGATAAACTCTTTTGAGGGCCGAAAATCCCCGACTCATTTGTTAGGCCATCGTCTTTGTTTGCTCATTTCAGACTCATTTATCGTCTTTTCATAGGCTCAGCACAAATCCGCTGACAGAAGTTTTGTATCTATCAGCGAGTGTGTGTTTGGGTATCTTTATCTCTGCGTTTTGACAAATATCATGTGCGATAAATCTTTCCCTGCCTGCCAACAGGGAAAAGGACGGGATTCTCGGGCATCCTCAATTTTTGATGACAAAGGGCCGATGGCAATTTATCCCGACATTTCCGAAGCAACATTGACATTGCTAATCTCGAAATGTTTCATTTGTTTGGCTTGTCAGCAACTGGTTGGAAAACACACTTTTCCGCAGCGGAGGAAAATGTAAAAAAATTGATGTGCACACAAGTATGTAGGTGAGTAATGGCCTTGAGAGCGGAGAACAAGTTGGGAAAAAAAAGTGGGATCGCCTACGACAAGTAGCAATTCAAAATGGTGACTCACTCCAGA